CCCCCCCCCCCCCCCCCCCTCCTAAAAAAAACCATAGTATTGAAGCTTCGCGCCAACGCAAAGTGGCCAATAAATGAATTAAAAAAAATTATACTGGCCGATGGGCAGCTGCATCCACGGAAACTAAGACAATCCACACTAGCAGTCTATACGTTAAATGATCAACGACTGACGGATGTCACGGACCACCGCACGTGGCCGAAAACGGAGGAGCACAAGCGTAAATCGGACGTAGTGGGTCAAGGCTCCAGCCCTTGCGCCCCAACTGACCTCCCAAGGCACCCTTGAGATTTTTGTTGATTTGCCTGGGCCGCACTTCCGTTTTAAGGGTGGACACTTGGCCGTGGGGATGTGGAAACAATTACCGATTTCAAGGGTACCCAGTCCAATTTGCTTTGCTTCTGATTTCAGGCAGGCGCCCTCTGGGACATCCGTGAAAACTGGAAGGATACAGAGAAGATTAGCAGTTTAGCATGGCCCCTGCGCAAGGATGACACACATAAATAGAGATTCAGGCAGGCGTGTGAGTATTTTGTTTGTTCCGAGTCCAGGTGTGTGGGTAATTTGTCTGTTCTCAGCCCACTTTTATTTTGTTTTTAAAGAAAAGTCGGCTCATTTTATTCCACACAAAAGGGGGAGGCCAGGAATCCCTCCATAAGGGCGTACCCACACAGAGGTGGCATAGCAGCAAAATCTGTGAATCTTGCTATCTCCATTTTGCTGAAATGCCACCCCGCCCGGTCACATAGCGGCAGCAAAAGCCGGACTTTCGGGCAATCGCCAAAATGGTGCCTCGCGTGGCCACACAGTGCGAGGCCCAAATCCCTCAAGGTTTTTCTTTTCAACAAAGTTCGTTTCGAATTTCCTTTCACCAACTCTGGGCTCCAGGAGCATGGTCCCACTAGCAACGGGATAGGGTAGAAAAGAGTTTGTGTGGCAGTTGAGTGACCCAAATCCTGCCGTGCAGTACTCGTGATCCCATGGTCAGTATTTTACATGTATTACCCCAAAAAGTAAGGAGATCTTGGTTCCCCTCCTCCTCTGGGCATGCCGGTGCAAAGGAAGCTTCCAGCCAAAATCTTTCAATCTGTTGGGGGTATGGCCAACCCCAAAAGAGAGTGGGGTCGGCCATAGGCCCACTGGATAGAAGATTTTCAGTATTTTGTGCTTGCTGTTGTGCAATTATCTCATTGGGTGGAGCCCTCCTTCAATCACGGAGTATATGGAGGGCGTCAGGATCACTGCTGACAGAAGTTGAGTTTATTCCAGAAAATGTGGCAGTTACTTTCTGCACTGTTGTTGCAACCACCACCATCAGATCATGTGTGATCTGATGGCTGGGAAGCACTCTGCTGGTCTCTGTTTGAACTGTTTCTTTTTTTTTTTTTGCCTTTCTCCTGTTTTCTCACCCCAGAAATTCGTAATGAACCTGTCAGGCCGCTGCCACTCAGTGTCACACTGGATAGGCCACACTCGTATCGGACTGCTAATGGGACCATGCTCCAGAGGTGGTAGCAAAATGCCCTTCCCCGTGGCCCGCCATTTGATACCCTTCTTTTTTTATAAAAAAAAAAGAAAAACTACTGCCATGTGATACCCCCTTTGGTGCTTTTGCCACTTTCCCTGCCTCCTGCGACTGGCCCAACCATCGAATTTTAGCTATTTTGCCATAAAAGGCACTAGTGTGAGTAGACCCTAAACAACCCGGGAAACAAAGGCACTGGGACCATTACCCACCGTAGGTGCAGGCTTTGGGAGTGGCACTCCAGGAGCAGAATGGCCAAATCGGGACCGCTGCCCTGAAATCTCCCAACCCTGGGAAGAAAACGTAAACCACAAGGCCCTAAAAGCCAAACAAACCGCAATCTCAGTCCAGACTGAGTTCTGTTCAGTTGCTTTGATTTTTTTATTTTTTTTTTAAAAGCTGGCCTCTGTATTTAATGCCCACCTGCAGGTCGGGAGCAGCCCCCGCATGTTCTCTCGTGAACACGGTTCTGGCTGCTACGGTGTTCCCGTATGCGTACAATTAGTAGTGGTAGGTAGGTAGTGTGGGGTGAAATTGAGAGAAGAATATAGTTTTTTTCTAGGTTACCAATGGTCCGGGGGCCGTTCGTCTCCCCCGGACGTCTCCCCCATACGTCCGGTACCCCCATCGTCCGGGAAAAAAAGTTTTTTTTTTTTCGTAAAAAAAAAAATATTTTTTTTTCGGTTTTCGACTTTTAACTCATGATTGACTGCGAATTTGAACATGACTCCAAGGCAAAAGTTGCTTGTATTGTTATGTTACATAACATATATTTTTTTTCAGATTTTCCTGAGAAGTTTTTTTTTTTTTTTTTTTTTTTTTTTGGCGCTAGGTCGGACAACCCCT